AATTAACAACACGCCGCCCGAAATTTGATTCGTGTGTACGTATTCAAATATTCYGCAATTTGAGTCTGAAATTAAAAATGCACGTCGTCGTCCTAAAGTTTTTTAACTGTACTTAATAAAGAAAACTTATCATTTTTATAAAACGTGTGTTTGAAACTGCTGTAAATATTATGGGGTTCGAGATATTTTTTCAAACGATTATCATTGTGTGGTCCTGCAGCCATTTGATATAATTTAATGTCGAAGACCTTAGCAGCAACACGGTGATATGATGATATTAATCGTCTAAGTACTTATGGCTGTTTTTTCTGGATTTTCAGGATCAGAAAACCGCCGGCAGCGTCCGCCCCGAAAGCGACGCGACCCAGCAACCTTTCCCAAAGGACAACGCCATGCAGGGTGGAGCCCATTCGTTACGTGCGGACCCTTTCGCACAGGCTGTCGGCAGACAACGGACACTTGTCGTTCAACGAGGGCGAGAAGTTGCAGCTCGTCCTGGACGTGGACGACAAGTGGATACTGTGCTGTCGAGGTGCACGCAAAGGTCTTGTGCCGAGGTCCTCCGTGCTGATGGTGTCCAAGTGAGAGACCCACCGGTGGGCGTCCGTGTAATTAGTACGGTGGCCGCCCGGCACATTCCACAATGATATTTATAATAATATGAATATAATGATCGATTTCGATCATACGCGCGTTTAATTCATCGTCTATATTAATTATAATATATGTTTCTACTTCGTTTTTAATATGGTCTCATTTTCCTTGTATTTTGTGTTTATTTCTGTGTATAGAGTACCTACTACTACTACTACGATAATATTATGTAATTTTTTTTTTCTCTGTGTTTTGCAAGCTATAACATTAATATTGACCGACGGTTCATGATGATGGGATAGCGTTGTACTTCGTTTAAAAGCGTCCAAGTGCAATCGTCGTCAATTTGTCGCTTTGTTGTTCTCGTTAATTTCTTCTGTTTTGTTTTGTTTTTTTTTTTACTCTTAACAATTTACACCAGTTATTTTTTTCTTTTTACGCAATGAAATTCGCACTTTGCAGAGGATAAAACCATTAACTGCAGTTGTACTCGGAGGGGCGTGTGTCGTTAGGTGCTTTTTATGGTATTTTGTTGCCGTGTGTTGTGCACCGTGAAAAAGTAATTTTTATGTTTTTTATAAATCACACAAATATTTGTCATTCAAACAGCCGCCCTTCTTGTAATTTAAACTACATTTATTATACATGCCTAATAAGCAATAGGCGTGTATAAGATTATATATATTCTAGTTACAAGGGTCGATGCTTTATTTATATAATGCTTGTGAGAAAAATACTTTTTGTAATTAAAAAAAAGAAAAAGTATTACACTAATGCTTAGATTATAGAACATATCTTTTATTTTTTACAACATTTTTCTACTATTGTTTTGTTTTGATTTTTAAATTCTAATTGTTTTTGAGACCTTATTTGTTCGGTTCATTTGCAGTGGCTTGGAACAAAAAAGGTCTCGAAGTGTGTGTCGAATGACCCACATCCAATATCTGTCGGATGCCGTGTGTCGTTCTATCTACTGCGCTCTTGTATACCCCAAGCCTTATGTTTGAAAATAATTTAGTCTTTTGCCTAAGCAAAACAAATAGCTTTGACTAATACTATGTTGCTTCATATAAGTTTAAGGTTTATAATATTATAATTTTATTATGTTGTAAATTATCATATTTTTTTTGTTTCTTTCATATTTCAGTTTTATAGACTTTAATCATAGGTCATTTAAGATTTTATTTTTGTTATTTTTTGTTTAATTAAACAAATAAGACTGCTTTAAACACTCGGTATTTTTATTTTACTTGTATATTTTATTATTATTTACGATACATTGATACAATATAATTAACTGAGTCCTAGCATCGATTAAATATAACATTTTAATCAATGGTACCAATATTCCAATATTAAAGTATAACATATTTAAAAAAAATATAGGTTTGTTAATATCGTATTATATCAACACATTTAAAAGTATAACAATATACAATTATTCAATATTATATTAAAATTAAATATTATTCACTTCACATTAAGTATAACATTATTATAACAAACTCTGATGATTATATGTTTGTTAAAATGTTGTTAGTTTATTGTAATCAATAATTTCATAATGTGTCATGACAGAAAAGTTTGAAACAAAAAGTATTATTAAACATTTTATTATATACAAAATATGATATACTGAGCAATATGTGTAAACAGACAACTTATGTTTGTAAAAATATATTGATAAATAAATAACAATAAATCCATTTTGTATGATTTTTAAACAATCAGGTTGGTCACAAACTCAAAAAACGATTTMTTAGCGTCTTAACATCTGTTTTGCTCATGCTCAATAGTCTTAACAATATTAGTATCGTTCTGTAGCTGTTAATTTCTCAAATATTTTTTCAAAATTATTCCACTTTAAGCACCAGAAAGTTTCCTCTCATGTCAATGTGATTTTAGCTTGACGGATGCAGATTATAACTGTGATAGATTTATTAATTATATCATTTTATTTAAAAACCTTCAAAACTGTAATTTATTAAAGTATGCACTTTACTTAGATCAGKGACGGGAAACCTGCAGTTCCGAAGTGGCATGTGGCTTTTTAGCATGTAATTTGTGGGTCTCTGAAAAATCCATCAATATATCGAGAACTGTAAAGGCGTAAGATATTAATTTTATTCAAAAAAAAATAGTGAAATACTATAACTACAAAAAAATAAGGTTGCTTGGTTCCTGGATCAAAAAACCTGTGCAGCTTTCTGAACTTTACAGTTGGTAACATTTAAAAAAAAAAAATGTCTCTTTCCTAAAAGGTTCCTGACCCCTAACTTAGATCATTGTTGATACTTTGATAGATGTCACAAGAATGATTTTCATTTGTTACCAAATATTACCTAATAATCATAATTAAATGTTTAATTTCTTGGTCTACTACAAATGAAATATATGTATGATATAGTTACAGATGCAGTTGTGGAGGAATTATTGTTTGTTGCATAACATAAACTAATAAATAATAGATGGGTAATTGCACATTTAGTTGTTTGTTACTCAGTACTCGTCTTGAGAAAAAAATTTGATTATATTAAAATTACGACTCGTGTTGGACCATATTCTTAACTGTTATCTTTTATAATTTTTGATTCTTAGAATTGAAGTTAAAATAACGAGCTGTTGTCTGATTGTGTTGTATTCACATAAGAATTCAGAGCGACAAATTTATCAAAAATTATCCATTAATAGATTCTTAAAAATAGACAGACTTTTCTAAAACATGCACCAGTCTATTGCAACCTATTATACTAGGAAACCAATCTCAGTCTGATTTACAAATAAAATATATTACTGTTGTATGAGTGTTTAACCGAGAATGGGCAAGATAATTGAAAAACATTTTGTAGATACAAGRTATCAGGGCCGGCGTTAAGGGTTTTGGTTAACACATAAAATTTACATTGAAGTTTATTTTATAAGGAAATTCTATAGGGTATAGGTAACTGATTATTGTTTGAATAAGTTTTGTTCTGGACCTCACAAAAGGTAGTGCCAGCCCTGCAAGATACGAGATTTTTTTTCCTTTATTGCTAAGATAATTTGTTTATACTTTATTTACTATTTTATAATTGTGTAATAAAAAAATACTTCAATATTATTTAGTTAACTTATTGGAAAGAACGGCTACAATAGTTAAAATCCCACTAAGCACCACCAGCTTTCACAAATATTATCTGCATTCAATGTTAAAATTATTCATTTTTAAATTCAAAAATAATATTCTATACAATGTAATGTGTTATCTACCTCGACTTCTTAAACTTGTTTTACAATATAAACTTAGTGATTTTATGCAATAAAAATAACAAGAGGAAAATTTACCAACTCATATTTTACAATTTATTTATAAAAAAATGTGTTTTCATTTGTAATCTTTCCCAATAAAAAGAAAAAAATTATATAAAATACCAATTTAAAAATGTCAACTGATTAATTAAGATACATACATATTTGAGTACAGCTAAAAGTATTATCTGCTGTATAAAAGCACTATTAAATCGACAAGATCTGTTGTTTAAAAATGTTTGAACTTTTTTCATCAGCACCAGCTGGTAAACAAATTGTTTAAAATTTATAATTTGAGATTCAAGTAATATGGTTATTTTTTAATGTTATACACTGTTACAGGCAGTCAACATGTATCATACTTGGTATAATATCTAATAGGTATCTTATTGAAATAATTATTACATGATAACTAAGATAAAAACAAAATAGTTAACTAGGTAGGAACGGTTAAAGTTGTGAAACAAAATGTTTAAAAAATATATAGAGTACTGTTACCTACAATTCGATAAGAATATGTTATTAGTGAACAATCTATCTAAATAAAGTGTCAAGAATTAAGACTTTGGAGTGTGTTTTTTGTAATGATAATATTAAAAATAAATTGAAATTGAAATAGTAAATAATTATAAATTGACAGTGCAAAATTTGTCCAAATAGTAGATTGATTTAAGATGCTTTTTATTTAATAAGATAATAATAATAGAATCATTACATAAGTCACTGCACTTAGCCTATTTATTGATATACATTTCATCATAATAGAATATCGCTAGATTATAACTATTGTGGTAACTTCTTATCTCAGACAACATTTCTACTTTAAAAGAAACCAATTCATGGGTATTCAATTAAATTATTTATGAAGAAAACAAGCGTTCATCAAACTAATTTAAGCTCCAATTGTTGATTGATGCAACAGCATTAATAAAAAGTACTAGAATATCACTTATTCTAAAAAATATATTGTCATATGAAACTGTTTAAAAATCTTTAAGTTTATATAGATTAAAAATAGGAAAAGTTTTTGGAACGTAAAAAAATAATATTGTTTGATATAGGTAATGTACATATTAAGAAATAATTTTATTTCAAATTACAAATTAAACAAGAAAAAATATTAATAGTAATAATGCTATATTAGCTGTATGAGTTTATAATTTTTGTTTATACATGTACTTAACACAAAACACCACATTAAAAACCAGTAGACTTAAAAGGTAGCAGGAATATTTTGCTTTTCAAATTCAGCTCTGTAAAATAAAATAAAAAAATATTAAAATTAAACAACAATACAACAAAAACAAAAGATATTACTAAATGTTTAAATATGGAAAAGGCTTAAAAAACTACAAAACCCCAGAAGATTTGAATAGTTAGTAAATGAACACTAAAGGGTAAGTACTAATACAACTGTGTGGTATTTAATTTCACCAAACTTTCATAATATATAAATTTAAAATAGATTTTCATTCTTAAACAAATATTGGTTTTAAATGTCTTATTAAACAATATGATTAATCAAACCATGTACCTAATTTGTATTAAAATACAATCTTTAAGCATATTTAATTGCATTATTTGTAAATAACGTTTAAGAATTAAATTAACACAATGAAATCTACTTAACACAATGCCATAAATAATAATATTATGGTCATCGGTTTAAACTATCTGATTCGCTAGATTCCATGAAGATTGCTATAAGTAGATTCTGATGTATAGGGGGTATTATTTTTAATAGATCTAAAATAATAATAATAATTTTAATTTCTAATAACTGATAGTTGGATTTAAGGCTTAAATAAAYAATGCATTTTAAATTTAATACCTCTATGAATTATTAGCAAAAAGTAAGTTTAAATAATTGTCAGTCATATTTACCTCAATTGAACACTGAAATCATCCTCAACATTGTCATCGTCCCAATTATCTTCCCAAACATTAGCCTCTTTATCTTCTTCGTCTTGGCTAGTCCACTCTTAAAATATAAATATTAATACTAGTTAGTAGTAAATTATTTTAAAAACATCATAAGCTTAAAAACCAAAAGCAATGAATCGTTTACCTTCTACTGGGAACTCTTCGAATTCATCATCTTCTTCTAACAGACCGATATCCAAAGTATTCTTTTGCTTATCTCCGTCGGATTTGGGTTCGGTAGAATTAACCATTGTGCTAATTTATGAATACCTATGTGGTTAATTGTCGGATAAATTATTAGTTTTACAGTAATTTGTGAATTTACAAATCAACAATTGTCGATTATTGCAGATAATAAGCTTGAGAATATGAGATAACTGCACTACAGAATTTTCAAGTTTGTTTTTGTTTCGAGCGAAATTTAACAGTCATGCCCTAACCTCAAAATACAAAATTTTAATTGGTGTCCAAAGTTGTAACATCACAGATTATAATTATTATTATAGAACAATATAATATTTTTAATATTATAACATTAATACATTATTCAACGTATCGACTATCGAGATAGATTTAAAATTTAAATCATTATATTGTGTTCATAGACGTCCTATAAAAGTATAAACTAATGTTTGTGATAGATAATCAATACATATCGATGGTTCTCTAAGTTCTATAATTATATTGTTGTAGTTATAATTTACATCATTAATCAAAATTTTCATATTATAAATTATAATCTGTCATATTACATAACTTGAATTTAGAATACTTCAAAAAAGTAAGTTGCACCATAAATAGTTATACAGCATGCTGATTAGTCTTGAGTTAATTCTTATTTTTTGTAGTAAAACCATTGAGTATAGATAGTATATATAAAGTATATCTATACTCAATGGTAAAACTGACATTAGTTTTTTGAGTTTTTTCCTCGATGTATGACGAGAGACGTGGCAAATGTTGAGTATCACTGTTCAGTGTTCATTACCGTCTTCACTACACAGACTATAGGGTACCCTATTCCGTACTTCACTTCACTACTTCACTCATCAAGATCGACGGTGCTCAGTCATGGCAGGAAAACCACAACAAATGTTTTCTCACCCATGATTTTTTTTTTATCTGAAACTATAATCAATAACAAATCCCGAGAAAAACTGTACACTATATAATAATAAAAACACAAATAATAATATTTATAATTTATATTAAAGTGAACACTGAACGCAGAGTTCAAAATGTTTTTTCTTTCTCCTTGTTAATAGAAATTGTGATGTTTTGTAAATAGTAAATTAATTTTCTGATGATGAAGTCCAGTGAAGTAGATGTGGTTAAGATGATCGATACTAATAAAATGCGGAAGGAAAAAAAGTTGTCTGTAAGTTCTATAAGTAGCAGCCCGGCGTCGGACTTAAAACCTCGAGTGGTGACTGTCAAGCAACACGATTCAAAAAAGCTTTACACACCGACTGCTAAAAAGGAAAATACAAAAAAAATTGTTCAAGATGCAACAAAGGAGATTCAGAACTGCAATGATAGTTCTGAATGGCGCCTAGATTTGAGTAAATCAGGTTTGACCAAAGTGCCAATAACAATTAGAGATGCCACACAATTGACTGAATTGTATTTGTATGGGAATAAATTAATCACTTTACCATCAGAAATTGGGTGTCTGACGAACTTGCAGACACTAGCACTCAGTGAAAATTCTTTAACCTGTCTACCGGATTCGTTAGCTACTCTTACTAGTCTTAAAGTATTAGACCTAAGGCACAACAAACTTACTGAAGTGCCAGATGTTGTCTATAAGCTGGATACGCTAACTACACTGTTTTTGCGTTTCAATCGGATACGCACAGTGAGTGATGACATTAGTAAATTAGTTAACCTAGTCATGCTCAGTTTACGAGAGAATAAAATCAAAGAACTTTCATCTGGTATCGGTAAACTAGAAAGATTAGTTACACTTGATGTGTCACATAATCATTTGGAACATTTGCCAGAAGAGATAGGAAATTGTATACAATTATCTACTCTAGATCTCCAACATAATGAACTTGTTGACATTCCTGAGACCATTGGCAATCTTATACTTCTGATACGGTTAGGTTTACGATATAACAGATTGAAAACCTTACCTAATTCATTGAGTAATTGTAAACGAATGGATGAATTTAATGTAGAAGGTAATATGCTTAGTTGCTTACCTGATGGCTTACTTGTTAACTTAAAAGAAATGAACAGTATAACATTAGCTAGAAACAGTTTCACATCGTATCCTACTGGAGGACCTGCACAATTTATAGCTGTAGATTCAATTAATTTTGAACATAACAAAATTGATAAAATACCCTACGGAATATTTTCCAAAGCTAATTATCTAACAAAACTTAATATGAAAGATAATGCCTTGACATCACTGCCATTAGATGTTGGTTCTTGGACTAATATGGTGGAGCTAAATGTTGCAACGAACATGATTACCAAATTGCCTGATGACATACAATATCTACAATCCTTGGAAGTGTTGGTCTTATCCAACAATCTATTGAAAAGACTGCCAGCTACTATAGGAAATCTTCAAAAACTTAGAGTACTTGATCTTGAAGAAAACAAGCTAGAAACATTACCTCAGGAAATTGGTTATTTGCGAGAGCTGCAAAAACTAATTTTACAGTCCAACCAATTGTTATCTTTACCACGAGCAATTGGTCATCTCACAAATCTGTCATACCTTAGTGTTGGTGAAAATAAGCTTAGTACATTGCCAGAAGAAATTGGAACACTGGAAAATTTGGAGGCACTTTACATTAATGACAACCAAAGTCTTCATCATTTACCATTTGAACTTGCCTTATGTTCCAAGTTGCAGTTGTTGGGAATTGAAAATTGTCCATTGAGTCAACTTGGAGATGCAGTCAAAGGCGGCCCATCTTTAGTAATGACTTATCTCAAGGTAAATGGCCCATACCGCACTCTATGAAATCCTTTAAATTGGTGTAGTATTTCCATTTGATATATCTTACAAAATATTGCAGTGAGTCTAATGAAAGTTAGTTAATATTTGTTATTGTGCTTATAAAGTTTATAAGTCACAAATATTGAAACTATATTTTAATGGACCACTGGTAATATTGTGCATTTTTTCCTGAATACTATTATAAAACCAAGTAGGGAAAATGTGGTTTTTAATTCTTCGGATTTTTGGTTGGAAAGTTGTTATGTTCTTATAAGTTGCATTAAACATGCATAAATAAGTATTTGAAATCAGAATTATTGATAATTTGTTTCTAGAGAAATTATTTTAAGATGAGAGTTTATAAATTGATATGTTTTAGTGTTTCAAGAACTATTTATTAAACAATACATTATTTTATATGGGTTACTTAATTTGTTTTCAGTTTGATTAAAGCTTAAATTGAAGTATTTATTAACTATTAAATTAAAAGTTGTATTCATATTTGGAAAAAGTGTGGACTTAACCGATTATTTTGGTATTCAATTCAATAAATTGAATAACTTTATGTGAGTATTCAACAAATAGCAGTTTTCGAATTACAGTTAATATAACTACCTATTCTATTTTTTTGTCGCAATTTATCTAGAGTTAAACACATTTATCAGAAGATGAATATATTTTAAGTAATATATTATATTTTGATTAATAATTATCATCTTTAAATTTAAAATTTAAAATTATGGTCAATATATTTACATTAAATTATATTTGATAATATTAAATAAAATGTTTATCTTTGCTAGTTTTAATATTTAAGATGATAATATTGATTTCATAATATTACATTATAAACTCTCATCAGATTCTGAAATTTAACATCTATTTTGTTTAAGATAATGMATATTTTATATTATCATAAAGGTATTAAAATTGTTAACGAAACTACTACTACTAGGCAATTTAATATAAAATAAACTTTATAGTAATAATTAATAACCATTACTTTAATCAGCATGCCATCTGGAAATTTTACCACAATCCCAAATTGTATTTAAACCATGTATATCAAAGTGTATTAAATACCTATTCATTAATTTGTTTTTATTTATTCATAATAGGCAAATATATAGTGTATTAATTAATATTTGTTTTAATTGAAAATTATAAATGTATATTGTATTTATGTATGGCGTATAATATATATTTATATAATATGCACGTATGTATATATATTATATACATATAGGTATATATATTTAATTACATATTTCAACTTTTGATACAAAATAACATAATATTATTTTTTGTGTGATAATTATTATATTATGTTAATGTTTAAGCAAATTGAAAACTAATTTATTTGAAAACTGTTGTCATATAAATATTATGATTACAGTATTATGACATAATATCTATTGGTTATCGATCAACCTATATAGTATTATAGTGTAATCATAATAAAATAAGTTGTATTAGAAGCGTTAATGTTTTTAGATCCTGTGTCAAGAATCCACCATGAGCTTGTACTACTTATACAATTGTTTTTGTCATTACTTGTGCAATATAATGAATTTTATTTTAAACTCAAAATTGTTTTATATAATTTACCTAACTCTTTTTCCAATTAAAGTGGTAAAAAGAATGGCAAATTTCTTTGTTATGAGTTATAAAAAAGTATCCATAGAATTTGTCTAGAAATTGTACTCAAATAAATTAATATATTCAGTGCAGCACAATTTATCACCTCTTCATATTTTGACCTGCAAAATAATAAGCACTGTTTTGCATAAATTTAGTAACACAATTGGATTAGTATATGATAATGTTGCACAAAAAAAATTGTTTGACTAGTTTTCTTGTTGACAATCATGTGACAATAACACTATTGTTGTAAGGCTTGCATAGTGATATACCATAATTTTTAACCAAGTTAACAATGATTAATTTGCCATTACCTAGTCTTATGTTTAAAGGAATTCTAATTGAGAAACAAAATTGTGGCTTAATTATTTGTTATCAAGTAATTTTTAGAAAAGGTTATTTATACAATCAATTATTAATTTTTTTAATTGTATATTTAAATAATTAATACATATTACATAGGTATATGTATGTACTATAAGATACATAATATATAAATTACTGTGTAATAGTGCCATAATTTTTAGGCGAAAGAGGAAAAAGTATGTTATCGTTCTGTTTTCTGTACAAGATTACTAATTAGAAACAAAGTAGTAAAAACAATTTGTTTATATCATTGTTTAATTTACAAGCCTTGTGTACAAAAAAAATGTAAGTATAAAATTATTGTTGTTAAAAAATACTTAAATTTGCCTCATTTTAAATATTTATATAGGTATACAAACAATGTGAAATGCATAATCAAATAATGAATAATTTAATATAGGGTAGTTGATAGTTGTGCATTTAACATCTAACAAAAGGCAAAAATACATTTTAA